TTCTATTGCAGCTCCTGCCCTATGGAACACCCTCCCCCTTGAGATCCAACAGGTCCCCATCGTTTTAACCTTCTGGAGAGTATTCAAGATCTGGCTGTTTCCCCAGGGGCTGGGACAGGATGAAATCAGAGAAGGATGAGAATGTGGTGGGTTGCGGCATTGGATTTTTCTGGGTTTTTTTGTTTTTATAGTTGTATATATTGTTTTTATTGCTGGGTTGTAAGCCACCCAGCGTTTGGTTTTAAGATGAGTAGCTATACAAATATTTTAAATAAATGAATAAAATAAAATAAAATAAAATGGTCAAAAATATAAAAATATAAAAATCAACAAGTAACTCACATCCTTCACATTACAGGTAATCCTCACTCAACAACTGTTCGTTTAACAATGGTTCAAAGTTACAACGGCCTCTGAAAAAGTTCTTTACAATCTGAATTCGCACTTATGACTGTTGCAAACCATTGCACCACCCCCACAGTCATGTGATTGCAATTTGTGAACTTTTTCATGCCAGTCGTTAAGCAAATCACTATGTTCATTAAGTGAATCATGTGGTGGTTAATCAAATTCTGGCAAAAAACATCCATTGGAGAAGCTGGATTCTTGTGATTCACTTAACAACCACATGTTTTGTTTAATGACCACAGTGATTCGCTTAATCACTATAAAAATGGTTGTAAAATTGGGTCTGGTCATGTGGTGACTCGTTTAATGACTGCCCCACTTAACAACCAATTTTCCAGTCCCTATTGTGGTTTTCAACTGAGGACTACATGTAAAACGGACTCCCATACCATCTTGGCTGGTTATTATTTTGATTGTCCTTGTTTTATGCAGAAATGTACAAAAATAATATTATAATTTTTTCAGCACGTTTATTGGAATACCAGCATTTCCTGGGTAAAGTTCTTCCTGAAAGTAGTGGCCACTATTGGATTGAAAAAACCTGCAGAAGTCAGAAGTGTGAGAAGAATACCCTGAGTGTGTGTGAGTGGGTGAGCAAAAAGACTTGTGTCTCAAATATTTATCACTTACTCTGTTAGACTCATTCAAAGTCTTCTAGATTTAGACATAAATAGATTAGCTCACTTACAAAGAAGTTCAAAGAGTGCTTCATTTAAATAATGTTTCTTTAAAGAAAGAAGGAAGTGATGCTTGAACAATGCCGATTTACTCATTAGGTGTCAATCTTAGCTGGGTGGAGTCAGAAGTTTCCTGCTCTGTTTTTGTTTGTGAGACAATACACTACATGTCTGATTTCCTGTGACCAGCCCAATCTTTCCTCCCTAGCTTATCTAAAACATATATCCTACATACATGCAAGGGAGTCTCCTTCCTATAATTCAGCTTTTGTAATTAATAAAAAGGGAGGAATCACTTAGAAGTGACACAAGAATCACTTAGGTATTTGGTACTCAGTCTAAATTACCTTCTATGTTCAGTCTAAATTACCTTCTATGGAAGTTACCCAACTCCCACAAAAATATCGTTTTGATGAAATCATTCTTTGTCCTTAAGGAGGCCAGCAATGAGTTAAGACTTTGCCATGCTGAGGAATCTGAGTTTTTCTGTGAGCTGATCTGGAAAAGTATTCTTAAGGATTAATGATCCTGAAAAAGCATAGAATTCTACTTTACTTTGAAAGCTACTGACCACTTCTGAGCTTCTCTCTGTTTGTGGCTTTGTCAGTCTAAAGACAGCTATGCTTATTTCATGGACATTCACACTTACCTGAAGTTTAAAATGATTAAAGACATCATGACAAAGGAGTTGAGTTGCAAAAAGAGCCTACTATTTTCCATACACATAATCTATAAGCTTTGAATTCCTGTATATCCAGGAAAGAAATCTTCCCAGTCCCACAAGTAGCTCTGAAAGGTACAATGAGTGCACTGCAACTAGTTCAACCTGTTCTACCTGGCAGGGTTGGCAGTGCAGATGCCCATTGCCACCCTTCCTGCTTGATCTGTTCCCTAAAGCTCTCAATATACTTTCAACACATATATCTTCAAAGACCCCCCCCCAAAAAAGTGCCAATCTCTACCATCTGTGTGTCAGTGCCCCTTTGCTTTCTCCCTCACGTGCATACACCTCTGCATCTTCTAAGCATCTGGCCAGAGGTGCTATGGCCTTTCCCTACTACCTAGTTGGAGTGCTCTCACCAATTCTCAAATAATCAGAAAACTACACCAGCATGAACATTGCTATCCTCATTGTTGATCTCTACTTTGCCATTATTGTCTCTATCCTTAGTCACTGCCAGTCACCTGGCTTCCCTCCAACATAATAGGTGGCAAAGCTTTAACAGATTTTACACATCTTGAGGCTGTCCTTAGAATAAAGGGACAATGCTACCTTTCATCAGACATCCACACGTAGAGGAAAGAGTCTTATCCTGACTATATTGAAAAAATGAATTAAGGACCCAACTCACAATAAACTATGGGTCACATCCACCCACACTTCTAGAAATATCTGCTCCATAAGTAGGGACTTAATTATGTTTGGCTTGACACTTCATTTAGTCAATGAAAACGCTTTCTTATCTTGCATACCTGATATGGGGTAATTCAAAACTACTTTTGGGGTGAGTAATATACACACTTAAAGGCATAATTAAGCTTGACTGAGCTCCACTTCAATTCTTTGCACAAATAGAAAATTGGGAACAAGTAACAAACTGGAACATCCTATCTGTGTCACAATCCTGATTGCACCACAGCATCTGCAAATAGGAAGACTCTATATGGCTTTATGGCTGCCTCGTTGCACAACGTGCGTGGAATGCTTTAATACGTAGAGAGCTGGATTCCCATGCTATTCTTCAGCCACTACTGTGCGTGGATATCTTGGAAATAACATAGGCACATTTGCTGGTATAGCTCTACTTTCTAATGTATCTTTAACAATGAGTTTACTAGTAGCTTGGCAGTGATAGACTGTGAGTTCACAGATGAATCTTCCAAGGACATTCTAGATACTTATTTTTTGAAAGATACTAATATTCTACAGACCAGAACACTAATCTCAAGAAGTTAACTTTAGTGGTAAAAACGTAGTTACTACTTCAAACATATTTTCTTTAATTCTTCAGAAAGACCTCACGCAAAACTATTTTATACAAAGAACATAATTTTAATTATTCTATATAAAAATACATAAACAGCACACAGTGAGGTTCACAATACTGCTAATAATTTAATAATGAGATTAAGCCTTGTAAGTATGCCTTTGGAACACAGAAGAACTGGTTTCTGAGCAAACATTTACATGATTAGAATGTAAAGAGTTTGTTTCAGTGTCATGTATGTTTCCTAAGACATGTCCTTTAAATAGTTTTCCCTTTCAGAAACACTTTTTAATCCAACTGCACTTCTTAGTGTCAGGGAACAATAAGACACTGAAAAAATATAACGTTAAAATAAAAATAATGAGCTTGAAAGGTATTTTCACTTCACCATTATGTTTAAAATGTTTGTTTCAAGTCATTCTCATTATTTTTAAGTAAGCTTTCATTTTGAATATTGATAGGATAGGGGGAAAATGTATGCTCTGTATTATTTTAAACAAGATAGGGAAAAATGGATTTCACTCATCTTATTCTTTTTCACCACACTCTCAATTTTTGCCAAAAGAATAGTCATGTTTAATATCAGTTACTCCAGAGGAAAAACTTCCTTACTTTTAATAACAGAATATAGGCCAGATTGGCAGTAACTAGAAATATTTATGCTATCTTGAATATAAAACACCTTATTTGCAATGAAAAAAGTTATTGTGCTTGTTGTCTAGCTATCTATCTACAGTACACACAAACATATATTTATAGACAGGCATATTAACTCTTTTTCCTCAGTAATCCGTATGAATATATGTGGGCGTTCTTCAGTTAGCCGTATGAATACATTCACCTATTTAATATCATAATCCAAGTTATGATACTACTAAGAAAAGCACGGTTCCTATAGAAACACAGAGAAGTTTTTAGGACATACTGTATAGTTATTTTTCCTCTCCATCCCTCAACACATGCATTTGTATGTGTATATAATTTATACATGTGTAATTTGATAAAGAAATCAGTCACTTTTACAGATTTTAAGAGTAAATGCAAATAAATACAAATTCCTGGAGGCTGCAAAAAACACATTAAGGGTGACAGATATCCAGAATCTTCAAAACATGCAAACATAAGAAACCTTGCTATTTAACAATGAATTGTTAAAAAATAAGCTAGGTACAGTTCTAGTTCTGTTTTTGTTTTAAAGATCTGGCCACTTTAGCTATCTGTATCCCCAAGACATTTCGGTTGGCAAGTCAACACATATAGCTGTGCTGTATTATTTTGCCTTTCGCCTCCTGCAAACTACCCAACTAGAGGACAAACACAAAAGCGAAGTCATTAGCAAAAGCTGTGCACGTGCAAGTGGAAGCACTTTGGACCAAAAGCAGCCGGAGCAGCGGGGATGCATTTGGCTCCAAGCTTGACAGATGCAACGGAAGGAGAACCGACGGGCTGCGCTTAATGGCGACTCCCAATGGCCTGGCGCTCTCACCCTCCCGAGTCCCTGGGCACAAGTCCCGCCCCGGGCCCTTCGCCGCTGGCTCTCAAAGCACCGCCGCGGTTTGCAAGACTCTCCGCCCTTGCTCGCGGCTCCGAAAGCAGCCCGACCAAGCCGTTCCCCAAATCCGCTCTCGCCCACCGGCCGCCCCCTCCTCTCCGGTGCGTTTCTCCTGACCCCGCAACCAGCCTCCCCGCCGCAGCGCTTCGGCGCCCAACCCACCTTCGCCCCGATCCTTCCACCGCGCTTTCCATAAACACAACGGGGAGAGCGCCCGCCCCCTGGTTTCAAGGGAGCAGCCCGCCCACCCCCCACGTCAAGGGATTCAAGGCACCATCCAATGACTCCCGACCTCCCTGCGGGTCGCCCTGGCGCAGCCATCACGCCTCTGGCAGGCTTTGGCGAGAGGCCTGGAGCAGGGGCACCTGCGCCTACCTGTTGCTCCGCTTGTCAGCACCCTTCTCCTCCGAGAGAGCTGGTGGACTGCCTCCTTCCTCTCTTTGCACTTCCTCCTCCTCCTCCTCCTCCTGGGGCTGCCGCTGTTGCTGCTATCACGGTTGCGTCAAAACCGGAACATGGCGTCGGGGACAGCTGCCGTATATATAAAGGGGAACAAGCGGGAGCGGGGCTTCCCGGCACGCTCGGGTCCGGGCAGCCCCGCGCTATTTCGCGGACCCCGCGGATCGCCGGTGGAATGCCTCCTGCCGGACGCCGGGATTCTTGAATCAATTGCCGAAAGGACAATTTGCCTTGCAGCCAGTCGGCTCTTTTTGTTACCGGTTTTGCTTGCCACAAGTGGGCAAACATGGCCGATGGCGCATGTTCTCTGACTGCACCAAGTGTTAGGCCACTACGGCCAACCTAGAGGAGCAGTGTGTGAGTTACCGCTGTTCTCCCCCTTCCTGTGGGTGGCACGAGCGGAGGTTTAGCCCCTCTTCTGGCCAATCGCCGTTTCATAGCGAAACTCTCACCTCGCCCCGTTCAGCTGGAAGCACAGGAGTAGGGAGTGTAACAGTTTTAAATCATCCTACCGCACTGGCCAGAAAGAGATGAAGGATCTCTGCGAAGAGGCGATGGTGGTTTTTTGCCCGCTTCCCTACGGTTCCCCAACACCGAGTTTTCCTTGGTGCCCATGGATTTTTCCCCCCGTAAGCTTAATTGCCACGGAAGAACCATAGCTAGAAAGAAAGAGTCTCCCTGTTTGCACTATACTCTCCCTGAATGTCATTCCCAACATGACATTTAAGTTTAGCAGGGAAAATGCTTCCAGTATAGGTTTTCTTTCCCTCTAATTGAAATTCCTTTGGATTTCCACGATTAAATTTCAGGAATGGGGAGAAGAGAGGGGAAGATATGGCTAGCTCTTCACTGAGTCTAAAAAGCAAGAAGTTTAAAAGATAGAATTGCTGCAATGATCAAGACGTTGTAGGGGGAGAACCATGTTAGTCTATGGCTTACTTTGTGCCTTTTAATAAAATTTGTTAGAAAAGGTGTTACCAGATTCCTCCTGATTTTTTGCAATGGTCCAGGTGTCAGAAGATGGGGGTGGCGCATACACTGCTGAGCATGCAAAACGTTGGGCCATCTTTAACACAGCTGCATCCTTGATTTTTCTGATTTACCATGATCAAATAAATACACTGTTAGTATTTGACCAATTATGTGCCACACAACCCCTAGCACTGCCATTAGTCATCAAGCCTCTCACTCATACAAGCATATGTCAAACAGTAGCAAAAGAAAGAGTGAAAGAAAAAAAAAAGTGAAATGAAGAGCATTTTTCAGGAATAATCTCATAACTACTTCCTTCACAGTACTGGAATGACCCCATCTAGACCTAATGACTGCACCCACCTTCAGCTATTAGCTAGGACAAGCAAAACCTAAGCAAGAATGCAGTACTGTATCTGCATCTGATAAGAGTGATTTCAAATACAACAGATTCAGCATTACAGACAAACTAAAAAGGAATGTTTAACAGGAAACTGAAAAAGGAGAAAGGGGGGGTGGCTCCAAAGGTACCAAGTCTGATAAGATTATCATCATACAACATACAAATTGTTTGCAGAACTCACTAACTAGTTAACCCATGTCAACCTACTGCATTGTGTTAATGCAGCCTATATAGTTAATGTTTCAGATTCTGCACACCCAGAAAACTGGTTAGCTGAATAAACTATCCTTAACAGCATGCCATGTCAACATGAGCATTCACTATGTAATGACTGAGATATAATCACATAACGGTTAGGGTTCTTTGAATCAAGCTTAACTCCCAGTGATTTCAAAGCCCTATTCAAGGCAATATGGAAGAACTGTGGCTTCTGAGATTTTTTTTTTTTTTAAACTTCTCAATGTAGCCAATAGCCCTGGGATTCTGTCTCTCATCCCAGTACTACCATACTGCTTTTCAAAATATTTCTTTACCGAAAAGAACTGAAATCAAAAGCCAATTTCACTTCATTATAGGCAATTAACATTTACTGAAATTAATATGGCAGCATTATTTGATTTGATACCATCCTTCAAATTATTAGGATTTGTTATTTATGACGTGAATCAAAGCTTAGTTTATTTCTGAATAGAAATTTGACAGTGTACACTATATTATACATCTTGGTCTGTAAGTATTTGTTTATATCCTATTAATTTAATATCATTACAATGTCTTTTTTATACAATAGACACACATTAATAAAATTAGATTTCTCAGTGTGGTTTCTGACAATACTGTGCTCCAGTTGAAATTTTATTACAATGCATGTGATGTTTCATATCCTAAAAGTATATTACACTGTTGAATAACGTAAGTTGGGAGATATGAAAACATTTTTGTTTTAAATAGCTAATTACTGGTACAGAGATGCCAGGTATTACAATAGTTAACTATTCTTCTTGGGATCTTTAGTAGAGAACCCTTCCGTTATCAATGGGTAGGGCAATACATGTAACATTATTACTTTTACTTCCTCTAAACCAACTGTCAATCTTGCCAATGTAAGGGATTAAACATATGCACAGTAGAAAATGAATTGGATACAGTAATATAATCAATGCTTTTATTGCATACTTAATCTTATACTACTTTGGTTTCCTATTTATCTTTTGTACTTACCCCATCAAATACAAAACAACTTCTGGAATGGACATGAGCAACCCTTGGCCACCAGCCTTATTTTTGTAGCCCTTTGGCAACAAATTATGGGATGATTTTTCAAACATGCTGATTTATACATGAAAAAAACTCTTTAGCTGCCTCTCATTGCAAAAGGGTTGAACATTTGGAACCAACCTCTTCTAAAGATGTCACCAGCATGTTTCTTGTGGCCCTCACATTCCCCCCAACTATCAAAAGATTGCCTGCTCTTGTTTAGAATAATATAAATGTTTTGTGTATGTAGAGTTTGCTAACACTGGAAAAACTAAGTCTGAGTATCTTTCACGTGCATGCTTATTCAGGAGTCCACTGTTAAAGATATAACCTAAAATTCAGAATGGTGGTCTTTCCAGGTAACAGACTCCTATCTTTTATTCAGCTCTTCATTCACTTCTTTCTGGATTTCTTTTTCAATCTTCGATGTATCATATTCTAGCATCATATCAAATTCTCTCCAAGGCATTTCCCATTTTTTAATTCTTTCTTTGTCTTTTTCTGTAAGATATTCATCAAAGTTGATGCCCTGGATATTGTATTTTGGATGTTCCCAGCGTTTTGACCAGGGTTTAGGCTTCATTTTGACCTTCATCTAGTATAAATCAAAGTAAAATGTGTTAGTTCGTGAATGTTATATTTCAGCAAAATACTTTCAAAAATCATGTTTTGTACTCATAGAAGTCCCTCATTCACACATAGTGACCATTAGCAATGCTGAGGGCTCAGATGTTTCCCAATTATTCCTAGAATGGGTGACTTTGTGCCAATCGCTATCTGCTGCCTTAAACTGTCAGGGATTAGAAGAAAAAACAACAATAATAGGTGGGCAGCAATTCATATAGGAACCTTATTGGTCAAATAAAATACTGTGCTGGAACCTAAAGTCATTTGGAAATCCTTGGTACACTGTGCAAAGTTTGTAGAAAGCTTTTAATGCTAGCAACAAGAAATTCTTTTCTTTTGTTAAGAATAAACTCAAAAGCAATTATTTATATAGGGGAGAATGCTGACAATAACAAAAAGGCAGGTAGTTATCCTATAACCTGACTGGAGACCTCTACTGGGAGAACAGTCTCCAAGCAAGCAGTATACTGTGCAAAAGCTTCACAATACAAAATTATTTTCAAGCACAAAGAATTGCTAGCTGCATGCAGTAGTTATCCCTTGGTCATTACCTTGTTGACAGGAACTTCATTGTAAAGTACATAAGACAGTGGCTTCATGTTTACATCAACAGTGCTGAACTCTGGCAGGGCATCTCGTAAATACATCAAGTTATCATCTAGTCTCTTCTCCAACTTCAAAACCTTGATCTCATGGATTAAGGGATTGTATAATTCATAGCAGATTTCAACACCTTAAAATGAACATTATTTTTGTAATAATTGATATAGCAAATGCTTACCACATTTAGATAACAGATTAGGGTTTCCTTAGAATGGACCCATAATGCTGCAGCTTTTAAAAAATATGAATGCTGAGACTTCCTTGTGTAACATGGTCAGTTCTTTGTAAATTTTAACCTAGTTGAAGCTGATACTGCTCCGTTTTGTGAACTTCCTTCTGACTACATCCTTAAAAGGCATAGTCAACTGTGTGTACTCACCTTGTCCATTTATTACATTTCGAAGTATGAAGGTTGCACCAAGTCCCTTTCCTGATCGCTGAATGCAAAGTCCTACAAAAGTGTTACACTTTCCATTGTAATAGGGATCTGTTGCAGAAACAGCAAGTATACTTCCTGGCAGAAAAAAAATAATTATTTAACATTCAGAGAAACTCAGTAAGGTCAGGCTCACGGATTAACATAAAGTAAATATAAAACACTCATTAAAATAAAGGTAAACAATTTTGTAATATAGTTTTGTTGCATGTTGCATATTTTCAACATTCTGAATCAGCATTTTTATATTTTAGGGCAGACCAAAAATATTATTAATAAATAATCAGTAGATGAAAAGGCAATGTTCACACTGTTTCAACAGTTCAACAGTCCTACAATTCTAAAAAGTTGCAATTAAGCAGTTTTATAACTTTTTTTTTTATTAAAGATCACCAACAGTTTTACAAATCATGTGGACAGCATGTGCAAGTAGTGCACATGTGACTAGGGTTTTACATGTGAACTAATGAGAAAGTATGAGTCTTTCAGAATAAATGAGAAGCCAGGCTCACCAGCCAAGCAGCCTACCAAACGTGTGCATATCAGCTCTCATGCCTAATCTAAAGTGCTTAAGATGTCTCAGGTGGAGGGGCCCAAGTCACTTCCAGCTTTTGGGATTTGCCATTGTGGTTATAAGAGATGTGCATCACAACTAAGCCTTCAGGTATAAACATTTCTCCTTACCTATTTTTTTTTTAAAAAAACATATATTTATATCCCACAATAGATGATCATGGCTATTAATATTGCTGAGCAGGTATTTCCACTAGTATGTTAATTATCAATAACAAAATGTATTCCAAGACTACCACAGAAATCAGGTAACAAATTCTAAAAATAACATGCTTTTAGTAACCCTGCAATTAAGTTCAAATTATATTTTTCATATTTAAAAATTAACCAAGCCTTCTAATTGATATTTGTTTATTCAATTTATATGGCTCCCACTCACCAGGTGCATCTCTATCGCTTGTGTGTTCATTTGTGAAATAAACTTTTAAAATTTAATTACATATTTTGTTAACTTCCCTTAATAATATTATTTAACTCTGTAACATTTTGTCTTAACTGACTACTATATTCAGTAACTTACTTAAGTATGGGCAACAGTTACATTAATTTGTAGGCAAAATG